AATGACGGCGCAGTTCACGAGTCTGCCAAAGGGAAACATTGGTATTGTTAGTGCGTTGCTCATTCAGCCTGTGCAGTTCAGACAGAGTTTCTCCAACTTTGTGCTAATCTGCATCAGCAAACGTGTTGTGGAACTCACTGCGAAGGTTGCTGTCATTACCGTTTCGATTGCAGCTGCTGCCTGCATCCCTCCATCCACGTGTTCTGCAATTCAATAAGCACTTCTACTGTAACTGAGGTTAAACTTTCTAAAAGTAACACATGCAGCCAGTACATACAGCATACATTGACCCGTTTCCCCCCCCCCGGCGGTGCAGTGCGACAGGTTGTTCACAGATGCCTCTACATGTCGGAACAGGAGATTTGTTGACCATTGCAAGAGCAATAAGGATTTTTAGGGGCATTATGACTGGGTTAATAAAACACAGCTGCCCCTAAAAGTCCCTCACTTTTCTTGCTGCCTTTTTCTCTCTCCCTTCCTCCCTCCCTAGCTCAATCTCTCTCTCTCTCTCATTCCAAACTTTTGAGATCAAACTGCAACATTTGCTGGCTCCTCGAGCGCGATTTGGTGCATAACTTTGGTATCTGTTCACCCAGTCGTGGCTGAAGAAATGCAACAACCTGGAGTGACCGCAAAAAGCGAGCGTGCTTTCCAGTATTTATGAATATATTTATAATGGCCGAGTTTTATTGGGATTTACAGTGGCGTTTTTTAAAGGGGGGGGTTGACTGAGTTCAGAGCAGAGTTTCCGAGAAGGAGAGCTCCGTGTGTTCGTTAGAAGTTCAGCTTTCACGGAAAGGGTAAACACAATGTGAAGCTCTAACCCTCGCAGAGCTTTTCTATATGATGCTCACAATAACATATGGCAGAGCGAACCCAGTGACCGGAGCGCAAGAAACAACCTGTAGGGGGAAAAAAAGTTCTATTTAAAGTAGGCTTACAACCCTGAAACAAATGGTGCGAGGAGAGAATATGAGACAGCCGTGGTGGAAAAAAAAAAAAGAAAGAAAAAGATGTAAGCAACACTGTGCAGCAAGTGGCGAGATGAGCCCGATTGGGCCTTTTTAAACAATATGAAATGCCACTGAGAGAGGCTTTGGCAGGCAGGAGCAGCCAACGCTGCTTAACATCACAACTTTAATCAGCGCACTTGGTGACTCTCCCGGAGCTCAGCCGTAGCCATGCTGCTTATTCAAAGCAGGCTCATTCCACCAGGCCTCCCTTACTAGGCCCTCAGCTCTCATACTTGCGCTGGCTCGTACTCCCCTGCAGCATATATGGAGAGCTTTTGGCCAGAGCACTTTTAGCTGCTTTCTGTGAGGTGTCGCCACGTTGGAGGGAAATCAGTGACGATATAGTCGAGCTCATCTGAGGTGAAAACTACATCGTCGTCTATTCTCTATATTTGAGTTTTTTTGGGGGGGGATTTATGATCCGATAACGAGGATGAAATATTTCCTATACGTGTATTGTTAGTTAGCAGTGGGATATCACCTACAATCGTAAATAATATAATTAGAACTTAAGGAGTTTGACGAAGTTCCTAGCAACTTCTCACAGACGTAAAAAGTAACAGCAGGCTTGTATAAACAAATGAGCTGGCACTGATCTGTTATAAACAGGCCGCAAGTAACGTATGATCAAGCGTTAAGTTTTGAACAAAGAAAACTGATGTAAATGATTGATGTGACCACGTCCCACCCACCGCCACATGCCGGGGGGTCCGTTTCACCTCGCAGGGCTGTTTTTAGGTGCCTTTTAATAATCACAGAGGTCTCGTGTTTTTTAAAATAAAAATCCCATGCTTCAGCGAATGTCTTAACTATGTGTCACTTGCAGCATGGAGATGCCACCCTGGCCCTCCGCTCTATTAATTACATAGAGCATCTCGTGTCAGGATGCTAAATTCATTAGCGAGGCATCTACCATGCTAGGGGTCAGGACAGATATAGACACGGGCCTCCAAAACAACTTCTTCCCCAATTGACACTCTTGTTCAACATAATAGAGTTTGGCACTTTAGGATTTTTATTCATTTCAGTGCGTTTATGTAGAGTTTGAGCTGTCGGCTTCTACAGAAATTGTTAAACTAAATGACCTGTTTCAGCTCATGGAGGGTAGGAGTAATTTGCTTGTAACTCAACCAATTTAAGTTTTGTGCTCTTTAAAGAGAGATTAATTCAATAAAGTAGATTTCCACTTCCCAGAATTTAGCCTTTCTCATTTTTCCTAATCTATTTTTGACTGGGCTAAAATAATAGGATTTGATTAGAAAAACTATTAATCAAAGACTGCAGAATGAGGCCAGGCCTCTTCTTTTTTTTTTTTCTTCTGGAGAAGTGGCATGTGAAAGTTGTTCATCATTGTAAGCTTTAGACAGAAACACCCTCTGCTCTGCTTTTCTGACTCTCTTAAGAAGCATGCTTCTCTTTCACAAGGCTGCAAAGTTCAAGTTTGACAAATCAAAAAGATTTTAGCTTATTATTAAGCAAAGACATTCACTGATTGACTGATTGAGCTATTAGGTAATTAACTTGACATATTTCCTTTGGCTGGGTACCTGCAGCTGTTTGCAAAAGCAGTCCTGCATCTCATACATTAAAATCATTTTGTGTAATATTTGTGTAATATTACTTGCGGTCTACATTGGGTTGTGTGCTATGTATTAGTGACTCTGTGGTGACCTTGTTGTAGCTTACTTTACTCTGCGTTTTGTCTCGATAGTATCGCCACAATATCCCCCCCAAAAAATATATTGGATCCTATTACGTATCAGCGGTATTAAATGGTGTGTTTACTGAACTTATCGAGCTTCATAGTGAGACTTCATCTCCTGTGCTTCAATAAAAAAAAAACTATTTATATTCTCTGTAAGACTTCCCATCTGTTCCCTATTCCTTTTCCTAATATGCAGCAGAAGTGTGGACTACATTGACTCTAACTTGGTGGTCACATGAGCCAGAAACTGGGACTTTGTAGGCCAGTTGAACGAATTTAGGACTCACCTTGCCCGCAAAGACCCAGTCTCTAACACACACCATCATCATCATGATCACCATCATCAGTCCCATCGCCGGGGACTCGGTGTGGAGGAAGCAACAAAAGCCTCACCAGTGGATCCTGGAAGTGTCTTTCATACCACACGGTTTTACTTCCAGACGAAGTGGTGAAGGAATGCGAAAAGAAGGGTTCGAAACCCTGCGATGTGGCCGATACATACCCATTGACCTGCTGAATGCGTGATGCTGATCCCGGTTTGTTGTGTAGCCCGTATACCTGCGTACCGCGCAGGTGTCAGCATCCCTGCGGCCGTATGGGGACTTCGCGTAAAAAAAAAAAAAAAAAAAAAAAAGCGTCGGCCATCTGGCTGATCGGAGGGAGATCGCTAAGAGAAGTTGAACTTCAGCGTCCATCCACTGGCAGCTCCGGCACCACTGCCGCCCCAGTAATATCTGATCACTCCGTGTGGCACGCATCCCAGATGGAGCAAGATTATCCTTTTGTGGGTTGGAAGGGAGGAGTGTGTTGGAAGAAGTCGGACAGTCCCCCCGAGGCATATATCTTTGCCCCTCTGTCCGGGGGAAAACATGCAGACGCAACAGTGTAGCGCCTTGTGCCAGTATACCCCCTCCGCCCACCCCCTCTCCTTTAAAAAAAAAAAAAAAGAACGCTTCTGCGTTTCCCACTGAGAGATCCCCGCGCGCACCAAGCACCCAGCCAGTCACCCTATATATCCATCCTGGAAAGAGACAGCCGGGAGGGGGGGGAGAGCGGAGCCCGCTGGCCATGCTGCAGCCTCGATATCATGAGCAGGATATTCCCGAACAGCTGGAAGGGAGCAGATATATGGTGCTGCGCCCTCGTGTTGGGCCCTCCCCAAAATGGACCGCTCTAAGTGGTAACCTGGTTATTTTCAGCGCGTCACTGGCTCGTCTCCAATTATAGGTTTCCGTCGGAGGAGCGCGGCGATGTAGTGCCCCCCCCTATTTCCAATTCTCCTGTCAGAGGACTTTCTTTTTTCTTTTTTTTTTAAACGGCCAAGGAGCGCTGCGCTTAGTAATGTCCGAGCATGTGTGTGTTTGCCTGTAAACTGCACACATTCCTGCGGTGTGTCGGCTCGCCCAGTCCACATGCGCCACATGCAGGGCACCAAGCTTGCGTCTCCGGAGCGGCTCCGTCCGCTGCGCTCTTCGAAGGTGTTCCCCTCTCTCTCTCTATCGATACCGTGCGGGCGGCTACATATACGTCCCAGGTTCATCACACCTCTCATGTTACACCTCCCTGAAACCAGCAACATGTTAGCGCGCTGCGACCCCCGGTGGCGGCGGCGCGCCACGGCACTCCACGACACGCACGTGTCTGTCAAAACACCACCTTTTTTAATTGTTTTATTCAGATCACAGAGTGTGATCACGTGCAGCTGCATATCAGGGCGCTAATGACAGCGCGCGACGGCTGGATTATTTTAGATACATTTAATCAGCAGCTTCATTCCAGTACTAAAGGTTTCTATATGATGTTATGATATTATTTTCTTATCTGTGAGGTTATATTCTAGTAATATGACATTTAGCTTTATTTTCTATTGCAATAAAATATACAGCTTTTTTATCTTCTTTCATTGTGGTACTTCACTTTCTATACTCTGTTCTGCTCTATTGTCTTCTGTTCTATTCTCGAGGTCACGCTCCACTTTTAGTGCCCGTGGTGACGCTCTCATCAGTCAGCTGCTCCATGAAGACCAGAAGCCTACAACAATACCGGAAACTGAGCGGTTTCCTTTTCAAAATAAAATAAATCACTTGCTGCTTTTTGCTAAAGGACCCGCTGTTTATCTAAATAACTACGTTTACTTGTTACATGGTGTATTTTGGAGTCACGTTCCTTCCTCCGTGCTTAATTGTATTAACTTGGGAACTTTCCGGAACAAAAATATCTTGTAATTGACGTTAGCGCCTAACCATTTTATTTTGAAGGGTTTGACCGGAAAAGATGTTGGATTAAAGGCTAACTGCAAAATAGCAACGTCCGACTTTGTAACTGTCAGGAATAAACCCGGTTCTTATAAAGAACATATTCCATCACGCCAGCAACCGCAGGACGGATGTTCATCATCATCATCATCTTCATCCTCTCATTAACATCTGACACCCGGGGGTGAGTCTTGAGTCCGTCAGTAAATGTCATCGCAGTTTGATTTCTGCGTCCAACATAAATATCCCGTATGCTTCCTCGTTTCCCTTGAACCGGTGCACTGCAGATTCTGAGTTTACTGACCTCATGAGACCAAAGTGTCTGAGCACGAGAAGCCAGTTCAGTACTATTGGACCACGTTTATTGATACCGAAATGACGTCAGCATGTGTTGATTGTAGAGAGAGAGACGTTTGCATCTGAGAGAGAGAGAAATTAAGGCAGAAAGACACTCAAAGTTATTGCATCTGTTGCTAAAGCAGGTAAATAAACACATCATACGTTATTTTAAAATGACAAGCAACAAGTGTTGCATTTACATTTTTTTTACTCAAAGTATTGTCAGCAAAAATAAGTAAAAGCCTCTAGAATAACAGCTTTCAGTAAAAACTTTTGATTTACTTTTGAAGCCAGTCTCTACTGTAAGGGCACCCTAAACGGCACTTTGTAACCTTTTCTCCACGAGAACATTAAAGCAGTGTTTCACAAACTAACTGAGATTTAATGTTATAAGTAGGCTACAATTATCAGAACAATACAAAAGACCGTGCAAGAAATTCTGCAAATGTATTTGGCGACCCAAATGACATCACCTGCGACCCACCTGTGGGCCCTGACCCATGTCTTTGGGAAGGACTGCTTTAGAGGGCACTTCATCACCTTTTCTCCGTCAGAAGGGCACACTAGACTAGGACACCAAAAGTATTGTACCTAATGTACTTCTGGGTGAACTCAATCAAATGGCAACTGTAATATGACTCGAATCGCAGAAGCATTGTTTTAATTGCATTACTGGATGTCATCGCAGAAAGTATAAAGACGTTTTTTTATTTACTCATCCAACAGACAGTTTAGCAGTAATTTGGAGCTCATGAATATTTTGTGGTCGGTTCATGCTTGTAGACGTGTAACTGTGATTGCTATTTTGGAGGCTATCAGTCTGCCCACACAGTGCTCTCTCCTCCCTGCACCATGTGTCACCCTCTTCTCTCTCTCTGTGTGCAGTACAGTGGGGCCAGTAAGCAGCGGATGCGGCTGGCGCCCGGCTGCGGGCGGCCCTCTCAATGGTCTCTCCCACCATGAAAGCGTTGGTGGATGCCGCATGGTTGGTGTGGAGCATCGGGGCCTCCGTCTATGACTACATCCACACCAACGCCATGGAGGAGCGCATCCACGCCCTGGAGGACGTCATCACCGTCCACCAATGTGCGATTGGACTTCTGTCCGCAGGCGTTTTGGTCCTCTTCACCTACATCCTCTTCAAGAAGCTCTGAAGATGCGTCCAAGCGCGGTAAAGCAGACACTGACCAGACAGACCAGGGGGGAGGATTTTTACACATTCGGTACATGTTCTTAACACATTTTAATATTTTTTCTCAGGTTTGACACAAAAAAGTGTCAAACACACCATTATAGCAGCAGTAAACCGGTCAATTTGCTTCTTTTTTCTTTTTAATAGCCCAACAATATATCAGCAAACCAGTACACACACTGTACACTCTACAGCAGTATTTCAAACTCCATTTTCACGAAGAAGCTGAAAATGTGTCTTGGTAATTCCCCAATTTGCTAAAGGGATCATTATTTGTCATAACAAATTCTGCCTTTATGTGTCGTCTTCATGTTTGCACTAATTTCCTCAAAGCCTGACAGATTTCGTGAAAAGCTTATTCCCCCTGAACCTCGTATCTTCAGTGTAGAGGAACTTTAATATCTCAGAGGTCATTTCTAAAAATGCCAAATTCCAGGAAGAACTCGAGCTAATTTCTTCAAATTTGGCACAAATGTCCACTTGGACTCAAGGTTGAACTGATTAGTTTGGTGGTCAAAAGTCAAGGTGATTGTGGCCATAATTCAGTAATTAATATGCACATTATGTAAATTCCCCACAAATGTCAAATAGGATAAAATGACATTGTGACGTTTTTGACAGACATGGATGTAAACTGTTACTTGACTGGCCGGTGGTTCTACTTCCTTTTGTCTTGGAGTGTCGGATGAAAGAAAACATCCTAAAATCCATTGTGATAGAATATTATGGGTGTATTATTCATATTATTAGACTTCATGATCTATTTATATAATGCTTTCTAAATAAACCTCTTATATACCTCATAGTTGATACGTTACTGTAGGTGCCACTGCTGGCACACACACTACAATTTGAAGTACATGGAAAGTCTTTTCGTAAGCTGGCCATTGAAATGTTTCAGAGTGCTGCTGCTGCTTGATGTTTATGGATATGTTGTTTTGTACCATGAAAGTGGATCTAATTAATTTTAGAGTATAAAGAGTTTTTTTTTGTTACAGTAACTTAAATTAACTTCCCTAACCTGCAAAGAGAAGCTGTTTAAAGAAGTAGTGCCTCATTGAGATCTAATGTCATGTGCTGTGTGTTTATCTGTGTACATTTGTAATGTCACTGCCTCAGAGGGACCACAACAGAGAAACACCCCACAATGAAAGACTGTTTTAATATCGCCACAAGAGCATCACAGCGTGTCCTCTCCAAAGGTCAAATAAATGTGGGATTCAAATAAAACGGGACATCTTTACGATACATGTGACCAACATCAGTCTGGTGTCGAATGCAGCGCCAACGACTGTAAATGAAAAGTTATGAATTACAGCTGTAGAATACAGCCGCTTAAAAGCTGCAAATATCAGAGGCAGCTCAATCAAGAACACTCCCCCCTCCCCCCCCCCAAACTTTTTTTTTTCTTAATGGACAGTAAACTTCAGAAACTGCAATACTGGCATAATAATAATAATTCATGGATGGGCACAGCTCCAATGGTCTACAGGACCGGGACGAACACCCGCTTCTTCGGCTGATGAACTTCTACCTACTACGTTCTATACTTGGACACTTCGTGGCGACTCATAAGTGTCCGGTCTGCATCAGCGTGTACTTGGAAGTGAAGCTCTCCACGCTCTCCCCCTCCAGGAACTTCATGGCTCTCCAGTGGATCTTGCCGCAGTTCTCTGGCTGTCCGAGGGGCCCCAGCTCCTCCTGGATGTACTGCAGCCACAGATCTTCGGGGGAAATAAAAACAGAAAATATTTAAAAAAAGAAAAAGGCAGTGCTGTTTGCTAGATGGAAACTTGGTATTTCCTCGATACTTGATTGAGAGGATATTGTGAATAAATATTTTTCAACTAATGCTACTTTTCCTTTCCGACTCCTGTTCCTTTAAGGCTTTTAAACTCTGCTCACCGTCATCTGAGGTACCAAACTCCTGCAGGGCTCTCTCATAGTAGTCTCTCAGACTGTTCATCTTTGGAGTCTCCTGGAAGAACAGACCAAAGTGTTATCACAGCTCAGGATCGTCTCGGCTTATCGCTAATCCAAACAATATCAAAGTCCACCATCTGCCCCTGCAATCTCTTCTTTTTTGGCAGAGTTTAAAGTCTTCTGAAACATTCAGAAGGGTTCAAACTAGAGTCAATATTATCTGTTCTGCACCAAAATCCTAAAGACTGAGGTGCAGTTTACACAAGAGCTTTCACGTGTGACATACAGTAGGCGCTATACGTACTTGTTCCTTCTCGATCGCAAGCATTCTGGTGAAAAAGGCCTTGGACAAGGGACGGTTTTCTTGTAAGCTACAGAAGAAGAATAAAGTTGTTTTCTGTACATCTTCGGCACAAGACACTTCTCAGGACTTTATTTTGCATTCCTCTCATGCTATTTATCATTTAAATACACAACAACATGAGCAAAGTGATTCTGTTACCTTGTAAAGGTCGTCCTTGCTTTCTTGTAGCCTCCAGTGGAGTACGACCAATCAAGGTAGCTCTCTTTAATCTCCATGGCAACTGCAGACAGCAGACTTCTCTGGGAACAAACAGGAGAACAAACGGTCTCATTTCGGAGGCCAAAACAACCGTGCGGGGCGTGAGGGGCTATTCAATATTTTCTAATTCATCTAGTATTCACCTGCAAGTATTTGTCTAGAGCGCCAGCTGACTTCAGCTGATCTGAACGCAGCGCTTTACATTACCGACCAGAGACGTCACATGACTTCTGGATGCTAACTAATAACGACCGTTGGTTGTCGTTTAAGAAATACATAACTGTAAATGCCGTCAGAAGGATTTGGTTTGTTGCAGTGTTGGTGCACAGAGTGGTAGTGGACTACCTTGAAGACGGCTTCCGTCTCCTCGGGACTCTGGTGGGCCACGCTCCACTGGACCTGCAGCTGCCACAGAGGTAGACTCTCCTGCCGAGACAGAACAGAAAGGACTTCGCTATCAGTATGTTTGCTAATCAGTATCGGGCTCAGCCGGTTATTATATACAGACGTTATACACAGACCGCTGTTATTAAATACAGACGTTATATACAGACGTTATATACAGACCGCTGTTATTAAATACAGACATTCTAACAATGAGTGTATCCTCCTTGTAGCATCTGAGAGACAAACTACCGTGCGCAGGTCAAAATGTCTGTGGAAAGTGCATGAGCGTCAAACATGGCGCTGCACCAGGAGAGCACGTCCACATTCTCTTCATTAATCCATCTTCTGCGCCGCGTCGTTATGGAAACATTGAATTGTTTGACGTAGCCCGAGGGTTTACACTCTTTCCCAACACTTCGGGAGAGTGTTTATCTCGAGACAAAAGACCTGCCTAATGAGCAGCGTGTAGTAATCCTCCTCACACAGCTACTTCTCAGGGCCACGGTCTTGTGAACACCCCCCCATCACCACCACCAGCCCAGCAACAACCAGTTATTCTGCTCATTACTGTAAAGGCTGTGTGTCAAAAGTGTATTCATAGAAATACCACATTGTATATTACTGCAATGTACTGTGCGACGATGTGAAGGGTGTCAGGGTGACGCAAAGTCAAGGAAAGAAATGTGTGGCTCACTGTTTTAGTTTGTTTTTTGTATTAAGCCACACATTTCTAAGGATTAGGTTATTATCCATCCATAGCTTATAATTATATTAAGATTATGGACTTAAACAGGAAGCCTGGCAATTTACCTGCCATGTTAAATTAAGGTAACACGCGAGTGTGACCTCAAATGATAAATAATTACACAAACTATTCATCTCTGGGCTTCGTCTTGCAAGGTTGCTTTAAGTGCCTGAAGCTCTCCTCACATAGAAGGGGGAGGAGGCCATTTGTGGATCTTTAATATCATGAGACTAATTGGGCCACTGAGATGGCCCACTTATACAGCAGTGCTGGTGGCTTTCATGTGTCTGTGTCCGTCCAAGTGTGTCCATCCTCCAAGGAGAACGATTCTACTGGCGTATGTGCTCAGTGTAAACAGAGAAGATTGCAAAACTTGATGTGATTGAGAGAAAATGATGTAGAGTCAAATTGCGTGTGTGTGTGTGTGTGTGTGTGTTCGGTGTACCTTGGGATGGACGTGTGTGAGGGCCTCCTGGAATAGCCTGCCCATGTCTGCACTCCCCAGCTGCGTTAGCGTCTGCAGACTCAGGCTCCACACTGACACCGATTGGCTGTAGCGCTGCGTGGCTGCCATGGCAACTCTGGCCGCTCCCTCAGCATCTCCGGTGGAGAGCAGGATGTGCAACTTTATTTGAAAACCAAAGAGAAAGTTAGTACATCATCATGAGATTTCCTCCCGTTTCCATTCACCTTTAATTTATATTATCATTTCAGCTTTACCTCTACAGTTAAATACATAGAGTAATTAAACAATAGAGATCAACAGGAGATGTGGTCTGGCATGCATAAAAAAACTAGTTTGAAAACCAAGATGGCTGCATGGTATTAGACTTTTCGCACTGTTCTTATCGGCCGTCTCTGATCTTGAACATCACTGCAGACGGCCGTCTGGTTGCATTTCATTACGCTAGGACTTCCAAGAACGAGTAACTACAGACTCACGGCTTCCGATGTAAACATTGATCTCCCCGAGCTGATCCCACCTTGTGTTTTGAGTACTATTAAGGCTTGAGGGCCCCTATGATTGCATTTACACATTTAAATGAAGCAATTATCTTACCCAGTTCTTGTAATAATCCTCCTTCAGCAGTGAGGAGTCGTGGGCGCGCTGCTGCACTCCCAGCAGCCTCTGCTGCCTCTGAGAGACACACACACACACACACACACACACACACGTAAACATACACCTCCAGGAACACTGAAGCCTGTGACATTTTTTCCGTTGTACACTCACTTACCTTTTCCTTCAGCTCTTCGATGTTGGTTTTTCTCTTCAGCCTTTCCAAGCAGAAGGTCACATAGCAAGACCACATGGGCTCTAGAGAGCACAGCACAGGTTTCTTATATATAGACACACATATATAGGAATGTACAAGCAGTGTAATAATGCAGGGCACCCGTAGATTTTTAGAACACCAGATTTTAGATGTTTAAAAACTTGATAGGCAACCTGAATGGGATTATTATTATTTTTAACTTATTAACTTAAACTCCTTATTCTAAGGCACATGCAACGGGAAGAAATGTGTCATTGCATCGTGATAAAACCTCAACTGTAATTCAAATTTGTACTGCTGCTAATACTTAAGTAGTGATTTTTGCCTTTTTGAAAATAGCCCAAATAGCATGTGTGTCTGAGCACCTACCGGTGTTGAGGCTCTTGACCCCCTCCTCGTAGACCTGGCAGCAGCGCTCCTCTCTGCGGTTGATGTCCGAGGCTCGGCCTTTTGCGGTCTGCAGCTCCTCCCCGGCCCCCGGAGCCTCCAGCTCCCTCTTAGCCATGAAATCCCACGTCAAGCTGTCTGCTGTGTAGTTAGCCTGTAAACTGCAACACAACAGGGGGGGGGGTACATTCATGCTTAGCAGTGAAGTCCTGTTTGAGTTGAAAAATGGGTGCGCAAGCTGGTGCCTTACTCTTGCAGGATGGAGTCCTGGAGCTCTTTGGTGAAGTTGAAGATAGCTGCTACGTTCAGAAGTGAGATGACAAACTCGGCTTCTGTTGGACAAAAAAAAAAAAAAAAAAGAGCAGTGATACAAAAGGTAAAGGGACCAGATCTGGGGAATAGTCGGACATTTGGCAGAGAGTTGTTCTCATGTCTGCTTCATAAATACGACGCTGCAGTCCGGTTAGCTTATCTTAGCATAAAAAACGGCTCGCCTGGCTCTGTCCAAAAGTCAACAAAAACACATTTGTATAAATCCCTAAAAAAGACAATAGTTTGTGGTTTCACGAGAAAGGTATGTGTGATATCTTTGCCAAGTGAAAAAGAAAGATGCATCAGTTACTAAATGTAGAAATAAACCATATAAATTGAATTCTTGTTTAAATGAGGAAATACAATTACTGGTATTTTTGCCTACCTTTGAGTTTCCCTGTAGCATCGCTGTACACAACCTCAGCCAGTTTGCCACTGAGGATCTCTGGAGAAAACTCATATTCACCCTGGAAGCAGTGAAGAGCGGAGTATTCAGGCACCGAACACAAAGCCAGAGCTTCTGTGCATGTACGTATTGACTTTGTTATTATTATTACTTTCCACTGTTCAATTTTACGACACACTCACCAGGTCCATCTCGGCCTTCTCCAGCTCTTCCTTCTGCTTCCTCAGTTTCTCACAATGCAGCAGCTCCATACGAAAGTACTGACACAGAAGAAGTTGTTGGGAGACAATTGGAAGTAAATATTTGACGAATAGACAACCATCGCTCTTCCAACAGCGGCTACCGCTCCTTTTAGACTGAATTTCGTTCGAACAGGTTTCATTGTTTGAAATGGCGCATTGCTTCTTTTACCTCCTGGTAGACTTTCTTGTTGTCGGGATGGAAGCGCAGAGCCCTCAGAAACAGGTGTCTGGCACTTTCAGAGGAGCTTCGATCCTCCAGCTCACTCTTGGCCGCCATGATCCACAGGGCTTAAAGAGGAGGGGGGGGTCACTGTTAGTTACAGTTAATATTGAATTTGTTACAACATATTGAAAAGCACAATCTTGTGTACCTGGTTTGTCGGGGTGTATAGCAAGCATGGATGAGAACACTTTGCTGATTTGGCCTTTGGTCGCCTGGCGAGAGAAACCCAGACCGGAGATCATTATTAGAACGAGAACACGCGGTGTTGGGTCCAAGTTGTACTTAAAGCAAACGGTGAGATAATTACATACCCATTTCTTACAGAAAGCCACATGTGAGAGCCAAAGCTGCACATCGTCCTGTGGGGAAAGAAGACATGTCGCTCACATATGATTCAGTAAGTTAAAGCTAACTATAAAGTATTTATATCTCATTATGTTTAGATTTTATGTGGAGGGAAACAAAATGGATAAGAAGAGATTCTTCAAAAGTCATGATTAGTTTGATTGATAAACTCCAACGGTACAATATAAATGCTTTGTACAGTACCTTCCACTTATTTGTTGCTCTTCTGAAGACGCTATTTATTCGATGGATGACGGCGAACTCAATCTCGTCTCTTTTGAAATGGTAATGTATGTGCTGCAAAAGCAAAGTGAGGCGTGGTCAAATGGTGCAACATCACCTCAAAGTAAACGGTTAGGCATGTACGTTCCACAGTTTACGGCAAGAGTATAAACTGAAACGTGTCTGCCGTCGAATGAATCCCATCTAAAGTGAATATTAGCATCACTTACTGCTCTTCTCTTCTTGATCAGCTCTAAAACGTTGATTTCATACTGTAAAAAAAAAAGTACGTTAGTGTTCATAGCTTGTATTTATTTATTAATTAAAAATAGAAAGCAATACATGTGTAACATGATGAAAGCACCCTACCTGAATGTATGCAATGAAGTCCTCTTTGTTTACGATCAACCTGTGAAGCTTGTATTCCAGAGCCTTTGCCCTCTTAATTATGGATCTGAAATATTAATAATAATAATTAAATCTCACGAATCAAAACTGGGCTGTACAGTTTTATGTATTTGCCATTAGACCCACTAACATCAATGACACAGTAATAGTGTTTTTGTCAGGTTTCTCTCCGTATTCCTGCCAGATGTCGTCTTACTTGACTTCTTTCTTGGTGAACAGTCCCACTCTTTCCAGCTGCTCCAACTCGGGGATTCTCTCCTCAATCCGGTGCTGAACGACCTCCGCCATCTTGACGACGCGGCCGTTACGGGTTCAGGTCCGACTGTTATTTGGTGTTGTTAAATGTATTAATGTCAACGTTGTACTGAAATACAATAAGACTGTAGGCAACTAGCGTGAGTCTCTCCTCCACACATGTGTGGAAGTTGTGATTGGTCGCGTTTCCGGTTCCGTCTGCAAATAGCTCCGACGGGAAACACGATCAAGCGTGAGTGACGAAGAAACAAATTCTTAGCTGCTGCTGATTCAGGACTCACATAATAGACACGCGCCATCTCAACTGGTTTTAAATGGCACGAAATAACTAATATATTAGTTAGTATATTAGTGAATGTATTAGTTGGTATTTTAGTGTAGCACTTAAAAGTAAAAGAGATTCGAAAACAGCTGAGTTAATTCAGAAAATTAATTTCGAAATTGTTATTGAACCTAATCAAAGGTATAGGAAAATTAAGAGGCTGCTAAACAAGCGCATACGTATATCTGAAGAACCTGAGAACAAATAAATGCTTTACTTTTACGTGACGAATATAAATATTATGTTTTCAATCACCATGTAGCCTGTACTGTACTGATGTACGTACAGTGTCTTCATTTATTCTGCTGTAAAGTTCAATGTTAATGAGAACGTGATTGTATAAGATATTAATATGATGCAGTTAAGCTGCATTATTATTTCTGGTTTGGAGGTGATGGAGAACATTGACTATATTGTGAAATGCGGCTTAAGAAGATGTTGCAAGCTGAAAAAAGTGTGTTGACTGTAGTATTAACACTAGTGTGAACCCTGGACATAGGGGCTTGTTTTTGTGAGACATTGGGTATTCTATTCACTCAATACATCCTTGTTGATGTATACGTGTTCGCTGTCTTGCAGCTATGGTACTGGTGCATTGTTTTTTGTGTTAGCAATGGCACTGGTATAAGTAAATGTCCTGCATTCAAAGTCTTACTTAAGTAAAAGTGTTGTCAGCAAGTATTCTCATCAAAATGTACTTTTACATTTACTGCACAATCAAAAGTATTGTGCAGTAAATGCAGACAAATGTAGTTAAAAATACAATATTTACCTCTGAGATGTAGGGGAGGAGAAGCGGAAAGTAGAACATAGAAATACTCATGTAAAGTACAGGTACCTTCGATTTTTACGTAAGTACAATACTTGTGTAAATGTACTTATTTACATTGCTGGTAATGAAGATAATAAAGTTGTAAAAAGTGAGTATTAAAATATTTTGTTGACTTCATTTGTGTAAACATTGAATGTATTGAAAGTTAAGATACTAGTAATAGCTACTTAAGTATTTAACTAGATCAAACTTAATTTTTGTTTGTAGGACCTAAACCATTACATTTATCTGACTGTACAAAAACAAAAAAGGTAAATAGTAATTGAGGTTACATAATACATTTGAGTATACTGAACATGAACATAGTGAGTAAACTTCACTCAAAATAGTTGAGGTAAAATTATGAATACAAATTAAGTAAAGTCAACTTAAAATATATATCTGGATTTAGATACGTTTATTTCGTGCAACCACTTACATTAAAAAAATGTAGTAAACCCAACACATTCTTTTTTCAAATGAGTTGGAGTGCAGCGAGTCACATAAGCCACACTGTCGCTTTCCTACGTCATATTCTATAATTCGGGCATATCAATGAGCTGTGGGTATCAGACTTCTATGAGTTCTGGCTGCTTAAAGCCTCAAACAAATATGTTGAAAGTGAAATTCGGGTCAGTGCTGTTGGAATGAGACAGTTAAAGCGCAGCTGCTGTTCCAGTTTACTTTTCCTAACCCACATAACTGGATGACGATTTAATTTATGTTTGTATAGTAACCCTCACGGAGTTCTTTTCTTTTCCCTTTTTTGTTGTCTTTTCCAAATTGTCACGGTAGAGCGGAGGGACGAGGAGGATCTGCGTAACTGGTATATGAACTTTGAATCTTCTCACTCAGATTATTGGTAAAAAGCTACTTTCCTTTTATACTCATTTATATTTTACTATATATAGATATACATATATATATATATACAGTATATACTATGTAACTTTCTGAATTCAAAAGTTTTAATAGACTTTAAGTATTTTTGTTAACAGTTTAGTTTATTTTTGAATGAGCAAATATGTCATAATGACAATTGACAGTCAACAAGCTATTCTGCTGCTCTGCTCCTCTTCTGTGTGTTTGTTCACGGTGAAGATCGTGCGACAGTTTCCTCAGATATTGGTAGAGACGCCAATCCTTCTATTGGAGAACTTTTTCTTGGGGTTATGGTCTGACTTTATTCTCAGTATAACTGTAGAAGCAGATTTATTCTCTGAGGTGGGACAAAACTAAAACATTAATACAAGTTTTTTTTTATAAAAACCCAATCCTTAGAGAAATAATGCATATGGTGATATTTCTTTTGTAATGGCAGCTGTATTCCCCTGATATCAATTGAGCTCTCCACTGCCAAAACTTCCTTATTTGCTTTTGATGATTATAAACAGGTTATAAACAGGTTTGGCACCTCTGGCACTGTTCATACGTTAATGGATGAATTGTGACTGAACCGGTGTTCTTCCTCTCGGTAGTCTTCGTGATTCTCCGTAAGGACCCACTGACCAGCAGGCTCATGTTTATGCATCAACATTCTTTTATGAATCCTATACACACTGTTTTATAAATGAGACCCTTAGATACTGTGTGTGGAGCGGACCAACCCGGACTCCTTAGTTATTGTCCTTGGTGACTTTAACAAAGGAAACCTTAGTATGAATCCGATATGCACTGTTTCATAAATGAGACCAGATAGAAGTATCAAGTAGCATGAAATGGAAATACCAAGTATCACAAATTGATTAAACCTACTTAGTTACATTCAACCACTGACTACACTCTTGTATTTGTATCTTTGTATCTTTTACTCTTGTGAATTTTACCACATGCTTTGTCTACAGGTTGCCTTCCTTTCACAAGCATCACACATCCAAGATGAAGTCAAAAGTGAGAATTCTCATTTTCCTGCTGGTTGCGATTGGCATCGGGTTTTGGAGAGGAGACATCTCACCATACTTCCCGCCTTGGGCTGAAAGACCCTGTGCTTGTGACCGATGTTTATTTGAAAATGATACGTTGATTATGCAGCGTTTCAGCAAATTTGCTGAACCATTTTTGTCAGTAAACTACAATCTCTCAGAGGATAATTTCAACTGGTGGAAGGTAAGTTGTGACCTTGCAAGATAACAGTCTCTCAACCTGCAGTTCAAATCAGGATCAGTAAAATACAATCACATTCAACAGTTGCCATCACTGTGGTGGCTAAACTTCAGTTTTCAGTCTGGTCTTAAGTTAAGTTAGACCACTCTATCTCAATGTGGGCAGTAGAAGGGTGTGTCTGACAGAGAGGTGGTCATGGCATCAGCGGTTGATGTTTAGGGCTCTGTGTCCATGCAGCTCACCAGAGGTTGGATGATTTATACTAAGAAATAATTAATTAAATTAACCTTGATTCTTTATTCGTTCAAAGAAAAAAATATGAATTAGAAAATACAACATTCATGAAGTTTACAATATAAAAAACATCTTTTGGCTTACAATCACTGTCAAGTTATTTTACCAAACGTGCAGTTTCCCTACTTGAGAAGGACCGATGAGTCTACCCGAGGGATTTTAACTGGATTTCACTCAATGACTCAACAACTTTTCATTTTCCTCCTTTTATTGTGGTAGGTTCAGCATATCAGTTCTTCAGTCACTAAGCCATTAAGCCATTTTAGCCATTTCAATCTTTTTAGGTGAAAAACCGGCTTCCTTTCAGGACTTGTAGACTCGTCAGTCCTGCAGAGTCTTATCTTCTTTACTGCGACACTGTGTCACTGCACGTCTGCTTATCTAGTGTTCCAGGCAGAGTGGTTCCGACCTGTTTCTTTTCAGAACACTCAGATTGTGTATATTGATTACTTTACTAATTGCTTTACTTATGATTTTATTTACAATTATCTTAAAGTCTTTTTCAATCCTTTATATTGCTTCTATTTACATAAAAGAAAAATCCTGTTTGACTTGACAATCACTGTGATGACAGCGAATTGGTACAATTCATGTGGTCTAACAGTATGCAATGTTTGGTGTTTCTGACAGCGTCTACAGGCTGAAAAGCGTTATTTCAGTACCTACAGAAATAAAGTGGACAGGATGTTTCAGATGTTCCCAGCCAGTGCTTATGTTGAAGCATCCAGCCCTGAGCGCTGCAGGACTTGTGCTGTGGTGGGGAATTCTGGTAATTTGAAGAAATCACATTATGGACCTCTAATAGATTTCCAGGACGTTGTCATAAGGTAAAAGAGTCTAGACAAACATGAACGTTTTTTTCCCTCAATGTCACAAACTAAAAGTCAAAAATCACACCGTTTTTCCTGACAACTACAGTGACATGAAATATATCCCTTTGTACTTTTTAGAATTAACAGAGGTCGCACGAAAGGCTATGAAGCAGATGTTGGGACCAAAACAACTCATCATGTCATGTATCCAGAGAGTGCTGTGGATTTAGATAACACCACTCATCTTGTGCTGTTTCCATTTAAGATTCTGGATCTTGACTGGGTTACGAAGGCCCTCAGCACAGGATTTTCCGGAAGGTGAGTCATGTTTTTTATTTCAGTTCAAGTCAAGTTGCTACGGTCCGTCCTCTGAAGCTGGCGTTCAATCCTGGTGAAGTCACCCAGCAGTAGGGAGTGAGGCGGACGGACCGCAGGGTGAAATTTAAACATAGCCGACTACAACTATACTGTTCTTACAGTTAGCCCTCTCGTTGGGCTGTATCCTATTAAGTTGTTAGGTTGCAGAGCAGGACTGTGCTAGCAATGGTACTTATTCTGATCCAAGGTCAATTGAGTAATATCAGTCTGGAGCTGCTGTGGAGGCTTTGCAGAGAGTTTGGACTACATCTCTACAGGAGGACACCAGAATCATTTCAATGAATGCTACTAACCTAGCATATTCCTCTGCATTCCCACCACCACTTTTGTGGTAATAGGCGTGAAATTCTACTTCAGCAGAGTATTCTCACTGAAGGGCTCTGTATACTTACAGGAGCAAAGGCACCGAAAGTGTCTGTGACAACTGATCTTCAGTTGCCAAAAAAACACCTTGCACCTATCACAAAGCAGAGCTACCCTATTAAAATGTTAATCCATGAAAATTCTTGCAGCATAATTTACATAAAATGCAAACACTGACCGACAGTGGTGGTGTTTGCTTCATGTAGGCAAACAAGCTATTTCATTATGTAAATTCCTGGTATATCATTGTACTGACAAAACAACATACATTTGACATCATTTGATGTTGACTTTAACATTTCATGCTTTTTTCAACAGCTCATATGTGCCAATAAAATCAAACATCAAGGCCAACAAGGATTTGGTTTGTGTCATGTTTTTAATGCATTCATCGATAAAACTTATTGGCTCCAAAGGTAATGGTTCATAAAATATGTTTAAAGACTAATTCTGATTTCATAACAGGTGATGGTTCTTAACCCAGCATTCATGAGGTACGTTCATGACGTGTGGCTGCAAAAGAAGGGCAGATATCCATCCACTGGCTTCATGACTTTGGTTCTTGCCCTGCATATTTGTGACGAGGTAGGTTTATTTTTAAATTGAGTGAATGTCGTTACACACTGATGATTGACAAGAGGATGTTAAGACGATGAAGGAAAAAACATGTAATCTTGTGTCATGTAGCGAGATTTATTAAGGCTTTTACCACATTATCCGTTTCTAAAATTGTTTACCTCTGTTTTCCCAGATCCATGTGTTCGGTTTTGGAGCAGACAGTGATGGAAACTGGAGTCATTACTGGGAAAAACTCATGAACAATAAGTTAAAAACGGGATCACATCCTGGAGATGAAGAGTATAAAATGATCCTGGAGCTAGCTAAGCACCAAATACTCAAGTTTTACACGGGGTGGTGATCTTTCTCTCAGCATTTAACGTATTCAAGCCTTGATAGTGAATCACTTACAAAGCAAAACAAGACGAAGAAGCCTTCAAGAGACATCTGTTCTCAGACTAACTCCCCTGCTGCACACGTTAACACTTTCCAAGATTAAAAATGTGAGTGATAAATCATCCATAATCTAATGGAGAGAGAACTAACACTACATGTATAGTTACTGATCCTGTTGATGTTGGGGTTTAAGCTACCCAAACTGCTGTAGTGACATTAACCACAAATGCCTTCGAATTAAACATTACATCACAACTGTTCTATGCTGCTGTGTGTGTGTGTGTGTGTGTGTGTGTGTGTGTGTGTGTGTGTGTGTGTGTTTTTTTCTGTGAACATAAACAAAGTAGTGATCTCAGGGAAAAAAAAATGTCAATTGAAATTCGAACACAAGCGCATTTTACAATGCACAGAGCATTGATTGCCTCTGGAAAAGTTTACAACATCTTTTCATGTTATAATGTCTTTACGAAAAATGGTCTTTGGAAGGTTCTTAGAAGTAAAAGTACATGAAGTTAGTTTTTCCAAGGTTTAAACAAACAATGATCTTTGTGTTTATACATGAAATGTAAAAGTTTCATTCAGGAGATGTCAATTTTGAAGTAGTGATTGATGGCTTGCCTATGTTACTGACGGTAGAAACACTATGGAATTCTAAATATCTATATACATGTATAGATGATATAGCCAACTGTAGAAGTGTCTTCTTGATTGTGACAAAAATATTCTAATAACTGAAGTAGACTAAAACACGTTGGGGTAATGGTGAAATATACTGGACCTTATGAAATGTATTTAACTGATGTAATAACTGAAGATTTTGTGTATTCTTTGATTTTTTCTTTCCTGTATTTTACTTGTTATAATGTGTTACTTGTTGCCATATACATTTCACTGTTAAAGGGACAGTTCATCCCAAAATGAACAATACATATTTTTCCACATACCTGCTATTTATCAATCTTGATTGTTTTCATGTGAGTTGAAATCGGCCATATTTCCGTTAGTTCCTACACGAAACTGCTCACAAATTCTGTGGATTATCTTGATTAACCAGGTCATGATTTCTGAAAAGAGACATGGCTGTCAAGTCGAGCCAAGTGCCACATAATGTCATCATATTGCAGAGAAGGGAGACATGTAGACTAGAGCATTTAATAAACTGTCTGTATTTGGGGAGTCATGGCTGAGGTTTCCTTTGTTAAAGTCACCAAGGACAATAACTAAGGAGTCCGGGTTGGTCCGCTCCACAAACAGTATCTAAGGGTCTCATTTATAAAACAGTGTGTAGGATTCATAAAAGTGTATGTGGCAACAAAAAAATCGGACTTATAAAACCTTGCGTATGCCTGCCTCGGTGCAATTTCCTTTTATAAATCCCAAATCAACCTATAAATGTGCACAGCTGGTTCAGCCTCACATCCCGCCCTCTACACGGCCACATTCAACCATAAATGGTCAATGCAAAGCACCTCATGAATGTTGATGCATAAACATGATCTGCTGGTCAGTGGGTCCTTACGGAGAATCACGAAGACTACCGAGAGGAAGAACGTTCACTCCCAATTCTCCCATTTACGTCTCAACAGTGCCAGAGTATCTATCGTGCAACATAACACATCACGAGTGTCACCACAGTTTACAGCAGGCGGACTGATTGCTTCCAAAATGATCGCGACAATTGGTGTTATCCACCACTCATTTAAAAAAAGGAAGTTTGATAGGTGAACACAATTTATTTATTTACTTATGTTTTTTTTCTGGCATTATGATCAGGACTGATAATGAGGATACGGTGTGATCGCATGAGAGCTGTCGCTGGCTTTGTTTCCACTCTTTACTTATTTAAATAGTCGTTATTTGCAGGTGGTGACGGTTTGCCAGGTGAGGTAACTGGAGAAGGTGTGTGACGTCACCGTGGTGACTCCTGTGATCCAGATAGCCGTTTACAGTTTGTTTGTGTACACAGTATGCTGCATCTGTCACTATGGAATACAAACCATAAATTAATCAATAAAGTCGTGTTCACTGCAGCGGTTTTACTCACAAACACTTAATGAAAACTAAAAATCGTACTTAGTAATATATCTGCACACTATAGAAGATTTGACGTTATAGCTGATGATAATTGTATCAGCTGACGAAGAGTGTAGGTATAGTGATCACATCACGAGAGAGTTGTGATGGTTTTTCCTCAGCAAGAACTTTACTGCAAATGTTTGTACAAAAATACAATCACTGACACAAGAGATTCACAGGAGAGTAGAGAGTGCATACCCTATTTACGTTAAACATGACACAAAGTGTTATTTCTTGAGCACAAAATAGCTTAATCTCAGTACTTTCAAAATAAAACTCTTCAGAACTCTCTTTAAGTGCATGGACGTATTATACAGATAAAACAAATACAATATCACTACTAAATATTACTGTCTGTGTAAAGCTCTTGACTATGTATTGCAGTGGTGGGCCGTCAGGGCCTGATAGGCCTTCTCTGCTGGCCTAAACAGAATCACAAAGCTATATCTATTTTATAATTTAATAATTTTTCTTAAATACACTACATGTATTATAATTTATAAAAATATTTTTCCCATTATCTTATTTTCTCAATGCACAGCTACTGTCTTCCTCAGTTGCTCTGCTTCCAGTGCAGCTTGTTTTAAGTAGAGCTTTTATCCAATCAGATCTCACCTCTGTGTCTCTAGGTAAGAACAGAGGCCCAGGCCTGCAGACTCTCAAGTGCATCCTGGTGCAGTTTAAGGGAATGGGGACGATATTGTTGATTGTCATAGTGTTCAACCAATCAGATCTTTAGTTTGACATGTCAGCGCCTGCTAGCCGGTCTATAGCTACGTCAGCATTACTCCAGGTGCAGCTCTGCTGCGAGGTGCAGAGTGTGCAGAGATTGGTCAGTGGGCGAGCACGTGACTAAAGTGAAACTTATGCTTGCTAGCAGAACTTAGGTTGTTAGCAGTCAAAGTTCAAGTGGAAAGATATGGAAGAAATTATGGCATTTTTAGTTTATTTTACCTAGCTTTGTTTTTTTAACATCAAATGGCGGAAGGAGGAGGTGAAACTGATTTAGTGGCGGAGTTACTGGGAACGCCTTTCTCAAGAAGGATATTTCCGGACAAACTGGACAAAGAAAGAAATGGCCGGTCAACCCCACAGCTAGCAGCCCTGACCCAGCCAGGAAAAGGATTTGTGCGCCACTTTCAGTCCGCAAACTATGAACGGTATTCCTGGCTGACAGGGTCCGAGAGGAGATGCAAATTGTATTGCTGGGAATGCTTGTTATTTGCGACTGAACGTCTTGGTGTATGGAGCCCTGCTGGATTTGGTAACCTGAGCCGCCTGAGCAAGACCGCTACGCGACACCAAAGTACGGCGGGACACGTACAAGCTACGGTGCTCTTGAAAACGTTTGGAGGGACCCGAGTGGATCTCCAGATCAACGAACAAGTTCGCAGGGAAACGGAGCTCCACATTGAAAAAGGTAAGAAGAATAGGGAAATACTGAAAAGGACCTCTTGCTGGAACTGAAACGCACGGATGTACTGCACAGCCGAGTTATTGAACTCTTTGTAAACAAAGAGGATGGACTTTGTATTTAAATAGAACAGCATTTGTTAAGTGAAACTGCTTTTGTTTTCTTTATATCTGCAGTGTGTTAATTTTGCCTATTGTGTCATTTATGGATATCAGAATCAGAATCAGCTTTATTGGCCATGTATGTGTACGCATACATGGAATTTGTCTCCGGTTTCCACTCCGCTCTCAATGTACATACAATACACTATTTTACAATAAACAAGGAAAAATATATAAGAATAAAAAAGGGCAGCAAAAAAGTAGAACAGATGTAGGTATAAACATTTAACAGCTATATAAACATTTAACAGATATTTTGTTCCCTGATGTAAATAATATTTGAATGGCCCTTGCTCTTTAGTGTGAACGTTGCTGGATTGTTTTGTCATGCTTTGTTGTGAATATATGTGACGGTTCTTGTGAGTTAGCTCTTGTCATTGTGTTAATTACATCGATTTTGACCATACGCATTGTCCGTTAATTACGAAGCATACCGTCCTGCGTGGGTTTAGGGTCCGGATAATTGAATCAGATTGGGCTGTTTTCTTTTACAAACAAGAATTATGGTCTGGAGAAATGGGGATTGTGTGGCGATTGCTTCAGCCCTGTTTGAATCAGTAGGGAACAGCTAAACGCTGCGGGGAGAATGTAGCGCGAGTTTGTGCGTTTTGTTTTGCTTCCGGGGTCAGACGCTGACCCGGAAACTAAACAGACAGACAGACCGGTGTCCACCGAAAACGTTATATTTACCACAATTTAAGCTTCAGCATTTTCCAAATGCACCAGTATTATTGGTCGGTTTGTAAGCCTTGTACCGAACGGTTTAAAACGAATACGTGATGTTACACCCCTAGAAACAAATAACCGTAGCTGTGGCGCCATCATGAGGTTATTAGGTGGTAAGACAGCAGTGAAGGCCCAGGTATAAAATGCACGGCCCGCCACCGGTTTTTACTAGTAACGTATACATATAGCTAACACATAGCCCACTGAATCTGTCTCGACTGTGACCACCGTCGTCTAAAGGCAACGTAGCTAAGGTTGTGCAGACACAAGTACTGCAAGATCTTAAAGAAATCCTGTCTGGGTCCACCTTCAGGCCACAATTCACTTTTTTTTTGGTTTATTTCTTTGCAGAGTGGTATCCAAGAATAGCAATGTTTTTTTTCCCTCAATTTTTCATCCTTCAATGTTTTTTGTTTAATGATCATCACATCTTTACTGCCAGCATGGCCCATTAGTTGTATGTGTGGAGAAAGCATTGTTTTTTCTGTCTAACAAACCCAACTTAATGCTTAATTACCTAATGAAATACTTAGTATTATTCCTGAAGTGTTTACAATCCGTCTTATATGTTCATCTTCTTACCTCCCT